CACTCTCTCTTTGCCGTCTTCATTAGCTTCCAGCTCTGGCAGAACCCACTTTGTTTTTCTTCTGGAGAATATTCTAACGTACCAAATTGGCCCCTATACTTTGAGAAAAAGTTTAAAATGGAAACATAGAACAAAGTATCCCTGTTCTAGAATGGATGCTCATAGAACTTTGTTTTTTTATGTATATCTGCCTGCCTGCATCTTATCCTGAGATAATTGTGCTCATTTTCCTTATCCTGAAAATTTTCCTAAATGTTTTATTGGGCCCTGGTCCCTGACTTCCTCTTTATATATTTAGGCTCTGTCTCTACTCAGGCAACACGCTGCTCACACCTCGCTGCTTCCCCTCTGAGAGGAACCAAAGCAGATCTAAAGCCTCATCATCAACCTAATGCTGAGACCTGTCCAGTTCTCTGTATCTTCAGCTTTAGATTGAAACTCTGGGTTTTTAAAATGTTAATTTTCTAAATAGCTAATACATTTGTATCATCCAAAGATAAAAAGGAAATAAAAAGTATACCATAGGAAGTCTTGCCTTCACCCTGCCTCCTCCATTCCTTAACCTTTAATTTCCTTGTTTAGTTATGTATTTTATAATTATGTGTATATTTGTGTAAGTTGCCTAAGATTCTTCCTGGGACATGGCATGATAAAGCTATTAAAACTTTCACCATATATTTTGCCCTCTAATACTTTAAATATTTGGTTGGATTTACTAATGCAATAAGGCAGGTGTTATTTATTTATTTATTAATATACTAGTGGCCCGGTGCACGAAATTTGTGCACGGGAGGAGGTGTCCCTCAGCCTAACCTGCACCCTCTCCAATCTTGGACCCTTTGGGGGATGTCGACTGCTGGTTTAGGCCTGATCCCAATATGTCCGACTGCTGGGATCGGACCTAAACCGGCAGTTGGACATCCCTTTCACAATCCTGGATGGCTGTCTCCTAACCACTCACCTGCATGCCTGCCTGATTGCCCCTAACTGCTTCAGCCTGCCATCCTGATCACCCCCTAACAGCTCCCCTGCTGGCCTGATTGACGCCTAACTACTCCCCTGCTGGCCTGATCATCCCCAACTGCCCTCCCCTGCTGGCCAGATCACCCCCAAGGCTTTTATTAGTATAGATATGACCCCTCATAGAAAATTTTACTAACCCTGCTTTACAATAAGGGATTGACGATTGAATCATTGGGGCCAGGCACCAAGATTTCCTTTCTTTGAATAGTGGAGGGAATAATTATCTTGTCTTTAAATTGCCCTCAACATCAAATGAGATAATGACTTAGAAAAGCATAAAAGCACCACATAAAGACAACTG